GGGGGGGGTGGGGGGGGGTGACAAAGGGGCCCCCGAGCACTCCCTCCCACCAGTCCCGCAGTGTCCCTGGGCCTGGGTGACAGTCTCTGAGGATCTAGGGAACAGAGTGGCACCCCGCACCAGGTCTCAGAGTTTCCACCTGTGTTGGGCCAGTGGGCAACCCCCAGGGCTACGTCTCCGGGCCCCTCCCCCTCTGGCCCTTCCAAGGCCCCAGGAGGCAGGAAGGGTCACCACGGCCCATCACAGGAGAGGTGGAAATAAAGGCTCAGAGACTGCAAGTGACTCGCCCAAGGTCACCCGGCAAGTAGGCTGGGCCCAGGGTCCCACGCAGTGCCCTGTCCACCTGTCCACAGCTTGGCCACAGCCTGGGCCTTGGCGGAACCTCATGGAAGCACCCACGAGGGGAGCAGCTGGCTATTATCACACAGCGGCCGGGGGTGGGGTGAAAGTCCATCCCTCCCCCCTCCCCCCCACCGCCCTGGGAGGGAAGTGGGATGGTTTCTGCCCAGCCACTGAGTGTCGCTGGAAGCTGACCAGCCACGGCCGAGGCTGGGGGCTCTGGGGCAGCGGAGGAGTTGGGGGTCAGTGACACGTGATGGGGAGCCCAGGGGCAGGAGCACGGGTGAAGGCAGGAGTGGGTCCCCTGGTTCCGGCCTGGCTCCCGGGACCGTGGGATCGCCACCAGTCAGACAGGGACCCGGGAGAAGGTGGGTTTGGGGGGTGCAGGTGACCACACAGGGGGCCGGGCTGAACTGCAGTGTCTCTGGGGGACCTCAAGGTGGACATACTTCCAGGGAGTCCTCAGGAGCAACAGGGGGCTGGGGCAGCCAGGGTTCCTGGGAGGGCACCCTCCCTGGGCTCCTGGGATCAGGCCTACGTGTTCCCCTTTGCCCTCAGGGCTCTGGACCCACCCCCGGGGGACCTGCCACCTGCAGCCTCGCCCCCTCCCAAAAGGCCCCCCTCACTTCTTCGTTGGGCACCTCCCACGCCTGGCCGTGGCCGGCCTCCCGGAGAAACCAATCCCACCCGGGCGGACGACCTCACCAGGGCAGGCAGCAGTGGGCATGGAGACCTGACCTGAGAAAACCAGAGTGCAGCCAGACTTGGAGGGCAGTGGCTCCGATGACATCACTGTGGCCTGGTTGATCGGCCGGGAGGCTGCCCTCCTGCACCGGGGACTGGCTAACTCCGAGGCTTCTGACCCTCACACAGGGGAATCCTCTCGGGCTCCCTCCCACACCATGCGGCCCGTGGAGTCTAAACTGAGGGGGAGAAGAAGGAAGTCAGGAGACTTCTTCCTCCTGGCCTTCCACCCCACCAGGAAAAGAGGGTGGCAGGAGTCCCAGATCAGCTCCTAGGTCTGGACCTTCTGGGACCTCAGGCACCTGCAGGGAGTGAAGAGGGAGCAGACCTGATGGCTGCCGGACATGAGAGCCCCCTATTGTGTACCTGTGGGTGTGCCCCAGAGGAGGAATCATGATCGGCCAGGTACTTATTTCCCCAACTCTCTTGCAACTAGGAGGCAGGCATACAGCCTGGTGCTGGCCGACGAGACAGAAGAGCCTGTTAGGGTGCTTTGCCTTATCCTCTACATCCTGCCTCTGAACATGGTATGAGGATGCGATGCCTTGAGCTGCAGCAGCCACTTTGTAACCATGAGGCACTAACCATGAGGACAAAAGCCAATCCGCTAAGGAGGTGGAGGGGAAGGCTGTGAAGAGCTTGAGTTCTTAAGCCACCAAACCAATCCCAAGACCACCTACTGCTGGACTTCTTGTTGAACAAACAATAAATGTCTTTAAAGAATAACGTGCCACTGGCTGGGTTTCTGTTACTTACAGCTGAGCACATCCCTCTGACACACCAAAGCAGGCTACCTGTCTGAAGGGGCAGCAGCCACAGTTTCCAGGCCTCTGGGTTGCCGCTCTCTTATGCCAGCCGTCTGGCTTCTGGCTCCCCATCTGGGCTTCGCCTGCCTGGCTCTCACCGGCCCGACCACAGCCACCGATCCTGCCCCATGTCGTCTCTGAGCCCAGCAGGCTCACCTGGCCTCAGCAGGGCTGTCCCGGCAGTGCGGCCAGCTTCCATCCCCCTCCCTCTCCAGGCCGCCACCTCTCAGGGCCCTCAGACCTGAGCCCACTCAGGGGCTCTGTTTCCCCAGGGGACACTCAGGCATGTAGCAGGCAGGTAAACAGCTAGAAGGTGACCCAGATAACGCACAGACACTGAGACCCGAATCGCCCATCCCTGAGCTGGGAATCCAGAAGGCAGCCGCCTCTTCGCACTCCCCAGATGCCCACCACGTCCCCCTCTCGTCTCCAAAGCTCACCCCTGTACACCCTCCCCCAGAACAACCCGGGGAGGGTGGGGGGTGGGGGGGCCAGCGACTCCGATTTCCGTTTCACAGGACAGCGGACGGAGGCCCGGAGCTGGGCAGGGACCCGGTGAGGCAGAGCCATTCCTGGGTAGGCGCCCGACCCCCCCAACACCAGGGTCTGCAGAGGGGTCACGACCCTCACCTCGGAGCCCCCTCACGGCCTGCTGCTGTGGCCGAGCGAGGTGTCAGGGCGGGAGGACAGGGAGCAATTGCTCTCGGCGGGAGGGCCAGGGCCAGCTGGGCGGAGGACGGCTAGCCCTGTGCCATTCTGCCTCCAGGGCTGTGACTTGTAACACCCCGAGGTGCCGGGCTGGGGCCAGGGGGGGCTGTCGGCCAATACTCTGCCAAACCACTCAGAGGCTTCAGGTGCTGGAAAATGTCCGTCAGGCCCGCTGGCTTGGGGACCCCTCCTCTTTTTAAAATCTCGGGGACCAGACGTTCCCCCTGGGGTTTTCCCCAGCACCCCCACCCTCCCGGGGCTTCCCCAGCCCCGGCCTGGCCCACGTGACAACATCTCTTCCCTGATGGCCTCCAACCCACCCCCACGGAGCCACTGACCCCAAGGAGGGTACAAGGTCCCCTAGTCCCCCCATGTCCAGGGAGCTGCCGGGAGCCCGGGGAGAGTCACCCAGCTGCCGGTGACAGTCCCACTCATGTCTGACTCCGGGTGACGGTCATCTGCAGCCCCGTCTCGCCGGGCAGGGGCCCCCACGGCCAGGCTTTCAGGGCAAGAGGCAGGGCCAGAGGGTGATGCGAGGGCTGTGTGTGTGTCTGTGTGTGTCCGCGTGTGTTTGTGCGTCTGCTGGGAAGACCTGCCAGGCAGGCTCTTCCGGGAGGGGCCCGACCTTTGGGCCCGCTCTGTGGCCCTGCCACACTCGGCCCGCCCCAGTGCTCTGTCCCCACCCTGGCCACCCTCACACCCGCCTCCTACACCGGGACCCTCCTTCCTGGGCCGGGCCGCCCCGGCAGCCCCAGGCCCCAGGAGGCTCCTCAGATATGTGAAGGTACAGCAGCCTCGTCCCCCAGCAGCCACCCTGGGACAAAAAGGAGAATGGGGCTCGTCCCCAGTCGGGACTCGGCCCGCGGTCCCCACCTATGGCTTCTTCCTGCAGGCGCGGGAGACCCGAGACTCGCCGCTGGGGCTTTCTCGGGCCACAGGAACAATGCCAGCAGGCCAGTGAGGCAGGGGACATGAGGTGACGGTGGAGATAGCCCGGCAGAAGCGTCTCCCACGGAGGAATGGTAGACACCGCTAGCTGCCTCGTCCCCTGGCAGACTCTGTCCCAGGCACTGTCTCTCAGAGGGGCCAGATGGACAGGGTCCCCCGGTGTCCACCCGGGGAACCCGCCTGTTGCCACACTTGTGCCTCACAAGTCTTCCCTTCCCCAGAGCTGCCTGGGGCTACTCCCAAATAAATTACCTTTTCCTCTTCTTTTCTTTCTTTTTTTCTTTTTAAAAGTGTATTTATTTACTTTGAGAGAGAGACAGAGAGACAGAGAGCACAAGCAGGGGAGAGGCAGAGAGAAAGAGGCAGAGAGAGAATCTCAAGCAGGCTCCACATTGAGCGCAGAGCCCGACGTGGGGCTCGATCCCACGAACCGGGAGACCGTGACCTGAGCCGAAATCGAGAGTCAGACACTTAACTGAATGAGCCACCCAGGCGCCCCTAAATTAACTCATTCTTTATTCAGTCCTTCTGCCTCTGGGGTGACCCGCTCCACCCCGACGTAGGCGGGGCGAGAGCTGGCTGGTGCCAGGCAGCTCCTCCCCCATCGGCTTGTCTGTGCCCAGACGTGTGCCAGACGGGGAGAGGAGGAGCCAGAACGGGGGGCAGCAGCCTCTGGGGGGACAGGGCTCCCTCCTTTTTCCACTGAGGGGTTGGCTTCTGGATATCCAGCCCCGCCAGCCACTGAGGCCCACACCCAGACCAGCCTGCTGTCCGGGACCAGATCTCTTGCTTTTCCTGCTCCCCTCCCCCACACCAGGAGGCAGCCCAGAGTAGACCACCCAGAACCGCTGAGGCCCCAGCAGCACCCGACCCCTGGGACCAGGCTGCTCAGGGCCGGGCTTTCCCCAGTCACACCCTGCAGGAACCTGATCCACAACCCTCGCACGCACACCCGCCAGCTCCCCAGGCCGTCTGACCTTGGCCTCCAGCGTGGTTAGCCTCTCACTCATGTCGCTGAGCCGGGTACAGTTCATGCATTCTGAAAGAGAAGGGTGAGAATGGAGTGTAGACCCTGGGCTGAGAGCAGCCAGCCACCAGGATAGCCTCTGGGCAGGTGGGGAGCTCGCCGATCGGTTTGCCTGGCAAACTCTTACCCGTCCTTCAGGGCCTTATCCTCAGCGCCCCCTCCTCCATGCAGCCTGTCTGATCTGGCTGTAAGAATAGAATGTGCAAAAGGGCGTCATGGGGGACAGTGATGCCAATCTGGGGTGGGGGCGGTGGTGGTCAGGGAGGACCTCCTGGAAGCAGCAGCATCTAAGGCGAGGCCTAAGGGTTGCACAATGACTGGCCAGGTGAGGGAAGAGGGCTGAGGTCTGCAGACAGGCAAGAAAAGAGAAGGGTCTGGCAGCAACCTGGCCGACCCTCTCCCCCCCACCCCACCTCTTGCCCCCCAGTCTGGAGCGGTAGGCTGGGCCCGAACGGAGGAGGCCTGGCAGAAGGAGCTCTGGGCAGCATCCTGAGGCCGGGGGCAGCTGTGGGAGGGGGTCAAAGTCAAGGTCAGATTTGCATTTTTGAAAAACTCATTCTGGCAACAGAGTGTACAATGGGTGGGCGTGGGAGGGGCTGGAAGCCGGAAGGCCAATTAGGAGACCACTAACGGCTAACCCCCCAGGCACACATCTCCCTGGGCTATAATTACCTATTTATGTCTGTCTGCCCCAGGAACCGAGCTCTTTAAAGAGGAAATAGATGGTTCAAAGCTGTTCTCAAGAGCTTTTATGGCCCCAGAAATCAAGGGATGCCTAAATCTCTCACTCGGTTCAAAGCCTGACCTTCCTGGAACCTCATTCAGGATGAACAGACACGCCGACGCACAAGAGGTTTGAGGGTAACTCATTAGGTCCCACTTGGTGTGCTGGGGCTGTCGGGCTGTGAGGCCTGAAGCTCACCGGCAGCGTCTGTACCTGCCCCCCACTGGTCTCCCCTGTCCTTGGAGAGGCCCCCAACGTCATCTCTGGAAGCAGATCGCCTCACTAATGTTCCTCGTTCAGTGGTGATTGCTCGGCGAGGCATGTGGGGGACGGCCAGGGGTCTCAGGACCATGGTACGGGCTGTGTCCTCCCCAGGGGTGCCCGGCCTCAGGGCAAGGGGGGTTGACACTGGCGGTGTGCTCACCAGCCCTGGCTCGGTTTACAAGATGAATTATGTGGGCTCGGAGAGGCCCTGCTCACCCTCCTTCCCCTCCCCGGCTCCCCTGGGCTGGGCTCAGTCAGTGGTTTATAAGCATTTTTTAGGAACAGAACTCTTTTTTTCCCCCTCAATAAAACCGTGTCGGTAACCCTGATACCTAAAACAGATTAGAGACTGAGGTATAAACACTGAAACTTTCAAACAACTAGAAGAATGTACAGTTCCGTGGCTGGGAGGGGGTAGGACTTCACGAAGGACCAGTGAGGGATGGAGAGGTTTTCTGCTGAAACATGGGAGTTTTCTGCTGGACCCCCCCCCCCATGCTTCCCCCTAGTTTCTCCCAGGAAAGGGTGGTGAAGAAACAAAAGGGTACAGGGGGGCCTGGGTGGCTCAGTCGGTTAAGCGACCGACTCTTGATTTCGGCTCAGGTCATGATCTCATGGTGCCTGAGATCGAGCCCGGAGTCAGGCTCTGCGCTCACAGCATGGAGTCTGCTTGGGATTCTCTCTCTCCCTCTCTCCCTGCCCCTCCCCTGCTCATACTCTCTCTCTCTC